ACCCAGTGACGTCACCACACCCAGTGAGGTCACCACAACCAGTGACGTCACCACATCCACCTTCCACGATGAACCCGGATTTGGTCTCAGCTAGGTCACCAATAATTTTACATCCCCCCGCCACCATCCCTCATCAATAGATTTAGTTTTACACTTCATGTCATTTGTTCCAGCTCTGATAATTACCATGAAATAATAAGAGTAAAATGTATCGGTTTGATTGAAATGGAAATTGTTGCAATTTGAACCGATACATTTTTTATTTACTTAAAGGCCGCCACGGTGGCGAGATGTCATCTTCCTCGCCTGCTATGCTGGAGGTCGTGGGTTCGATCCCAACCCTGATGCCTGCTGTATATTTGTAATTTTCATGTTCTCCCTGTGGTCGTGTTGATCATTTTTCGGGTCCTCCCATTGTTCCCTCCACATGGAGAAACATGCGTTTATATTTTTTTATATTATTTGCCTGCTATACATTTCCACATAAGCCACTTGAGCTAGCTATTATTTATGACCAGGTCGCTTCTGATAGAGAAGCGAATAGCTCAATTGTGGGCTTTACCTGGTAAAATGAAAACATTATAGTTTGTTTTTCCGGGGTTTGCTTATATTTCCTATAATTTACACTCCCCTCTGTTTTTTAAATATGTTGTTGTTACTTTCTGACCTGCTCCAACTGGACATTTGTGAAAACGAGCAACCATAGCTCATCGGATTTAATCAGGAGAAATAAATATTCTGATTCTGATATAAAATGGGTGTGATATCCAAGGTGTGATCCAGCAGTGGAGTGACCATGGCTGATGATGACGATGATGGGTGTGGATCAGGAGGTCGATTGCAGTGACTTTGTAATTATCAACGTGGCATCATCTCCCAGCGCTGTTCCACGACAAGGTGACGGCAAGGCCATCCAGAGAGAGTTCCGAATGAGATTGTTTGAATCAAGTTACATTACATTGATCCTGGTATAAATAAACTAACAACTATTTTTTTTATTTAAAGCTTTCGTTACTGCAGGGATTCATATTCTTGGTTCTTTCGGTAAAGTCACGTAGAAGGGAAACAATCAGAAGCGACCTGGCCCCAAACGATAGCTCAACGATGCGTCTTGTCGCGTGGAGATTCATCGCAGCCTCCTGCTCGGTCTCCCAGCCTGTGCGTTCATTCCACGACAACAGATCCACAATGCGTCCGCACGTTTCATTTACGAGCTACCAACTGCGCCCCTCTGATAGGCTATGCACTGGCTCTCCATCTACTACCGGTGTCTGTTCAAGCTCCTTAGGCGAGTATGTACATCTCTTCATGGCCTTGCCCCACATTACCTCGCTTCCCTTACCTCGTTTTACGCCTCCTCCCGCCCACTCTCCGCTCTCAATCTCTCCTCCTACTCCTAACCTTGCGCACAATCCAGTTTCTGCTCCTTTTCCCTACTGGAACAAACTTCCCCTCTACACGAAGCAAGTAGCACCCTCCTAAGATACTTTAAACGCATGTTTCTAAATACAATCGGTGTTGCGTAATTCTCATCAAAATGTTAAAACTCAACAAATTTGTCGACAACACTGTGTTGTCGACAAAGGTAAGGTATAATAGGTGACGTTTCAGGCAATGTACCTTAATCAGAGCACATACATAAGGAGGCCAGAGACATAGCGGCCTTATGATAATTTGGGGCATGGCCCTTTTTCATCAAGAAGGACCATGGCCCGAAACGTCTCCTATTGTATTTTTCCTTTTTCAGGCCAGACAGTGTTGTTGACGAATGTGTTGAGGTTGTTTTGGTGTTAGTTAGCACTCAAGTGACGTCACACATCCATGCGCTTAAATGTAAGTGCAATGACATCAATGCAGCGCTACAGAGGCGTGCTTGACGGTGACTTTAAAGTTATTTTTCTTCTTCTCATAAATGAAACTTCACATTTGTCAGGGAACCCAGGCCACACAGCGCCTGGGCGAGAGTAACACAAAATGCGACCTGTGTGTTGTTGTTTTTATTTTACTGAACGTTAATCGTGCTTCTTCTGCACCGCTGCCAATGGAGCAACAGCGGCGGCAGCATCAGCGGATGATAGAGCGTTGAACGTAAGTGTCAGGCGGCCGCGACGGAGCCGTGGGGCGTTCGCTCGAGCGAGGAATGCGAGCGTGAGCGTCGTCCATGCCGTGGTGCGCGAGGCCTGAACCGCGGGCACTTTCCCGTGCGCGAGAGCGCCTTTGCCCGTCCTCACTGCTGTTGGCAGTTCGTGGGGGGGGTGGAGGGGTGAACGCAGAACGGACAAAATGATTTCCAGACCTCTGAGCGCGCATGCCGCCAGAAAAATGCATTCCCACTGTGTGTGTTGTTTATATGTTTTTACAGCCAAATTTTTGCTCAAATAAATCCCAGGCTTTGCATAAAGCACCTCAGTGTTGATTACACGGTTAAGCCAAACGTCAGAGCGTGCGTGCAAAAAGGCTTTTGTCCTGTGCTCGTTACTCGAGTGATATTTCTCATGCTATTCAAATAGATTTCCGCAAGAGTTTCGTTCTTTTCCAGTAAACTCTGTTATTATTATTCCAATTTGTCGCAATGTATTTTTTCCCCCCAAATACAAAATTGAATTAAAATCCATGTAGGGATATTGTTCACGCTCGTAACATTACTCCGGCTGCGGCGTTACTGTGCGTGACTTTCGAGCGGAAAGGTTACGAGTTCAAACCCCCTTTGGGGGGATTTGTGACTCGGCACATTTCCCCTCTGCGATCAACCGAATGAGTGTCACTTTAATTTTACTCGACGGAAAACAGCCCTCGCCATGCGAGTGTGGAATTTCCCGACCCCCCCCCCCCCCAAAATGGCTCGGAGCCACGGAGGTGAGCACCGCTGCACACTTGTTGGAATGAGTCGAAGTTAAGTCAAAGACACTCCGGCTTAAAGTTTGACTTGACCGTAGCTTCTGGAACACGGTGAAGGAGCAGCGCTGCAATTTCTTGCTCATGCCACTACCGGCGGAAAGGCCTCCACCAGAGGAAGCCCCCTCTGAAGAGGTATTTGGCCTTCTCTTCCACGTCGTGGAAGAGGTGGGAGCACGTTACAAACTTTGCCCACCACCTCGCTGTGTTGCACCCGTTGGTACCACGCCACAGAGAAAATAGCAACGGCGTCAATGCGAGTAATAATAATAATACTATGGATGCGTGTGCGTGTGTGCGTGCGTGTTGCCCGTTGGCCAACAGTCTGTTAAGGCTTTACTGGGGGATCTTTGTGTTGCCCGTCAAGGGAGTGATGGGAAAAAAATAACGATGCCAGTGGTGAACCAGTTTATACTGCTGGGTGGGTGGACAGAAATGCGGGGAAATCTTAGACAATTGCTCATTGTTTGGACTTCTGCGCCAGAAGATAAAACCGGTGGGCATGCGGATTGCAAGTCCAGTGTGCAGACAATTGTACCAAGGCAGCAACTCCCTCAGCTTATCAACTATAAAACTAAAACACTTTTTTTTATTTTACTAGGTAAAGCCCACTGAGCTATATAGCTATTTTTCAGAAGCAACCTCGCCATAAATGACAGGTCCACGAAGTGGCTTATCATGTGGACATTTATAGTAGCCAAATGCTCTAAACGCACGTGTAGTCTAAATGCAGAAAAACTGTAGGACCTGGAGAAAAATCCATGCAATCATGGGCAGAAATACACGAAACCCCCCAATATAAAGGCGTCCGGGTCGGGATCAAACCCAAGGCCTCCTGCACACCAGGCGAGGGAGTTAACATCTCTCTGCGAGTGAACAAACAACTCAATGTTCAGGTGGCACTCATCGCCTCTTGTGGCCCTGGGCTAGTGGTCAAAATTCCTAATGGCCGGTCTCTCCATGGGATGTCCACTATTGACATTCCACAAAGCAGTGCTCACTCTATTAATCCCTGAAGGATGATTGGCTGTGGTTCCCCAACCGTGATTTGAACTTGCAACCTTCTGATTGCTAATTATTCACTCCAAGCGCAGTTTCACGTGGGCAAAAATTAAATATGCAAAGCATAATGTACGGCAACATAAACTTCAAGCGCATTTTGCAGACTGTGTAAATAAAGGCTATTCTAGTGTCTGACTAGATTGCATCGTGAATGGCTTGCTCCAATTGCAATAAAAAAACGTTGCAAGTTTGACTTCCCATTAAAAGTCAACAAAGCCCATCATCTCATCAGGGTCTCAAAAATTTGTACCACATATTGAGAATTCAACCGTGGTCATGCAATCTTTTTGATTTCCCTTTTACGTTCGTGAGTTAAAAAAAAAATTGTCCACCCACATTTATTTATTTGAGCGTTTGTTATTTTATTTTCTTCCATTGTTCCCAGTTTTACACGCATGTTTTGATGAAACAATGTTTTTGGTGATGCTACTGCTGCTGCATTGGCATTGGCACACAATGAATAGAGAAAAAACTCACTTTGGTCAATAACACTGTGGCCTTAAACGGAATTAGTTTTTATATAAATAATAGGCAAGGCCCTTTCATTGCCCACAACTGTTATGTTTGTCCTTTCACATCGTGTTATTGTTGACGAATGTGTTGAGTATTTCTGGCAAGATCGTTGCTTTGTTTATTTGTGCAACGCGTTTATTTGCTTGTTTATTTGATCAGTTGTTGCTTCATCATTGTGTGATTGTTTCATCAGCCGTTTACATTATTTCACTCGTATTTCCATGATTGAATGTTTGTTCCTGCATTGTTCAACACTACTGCTTTATTGTTCACTCAATTGATCGATTGGTCATTTGTACATTTTTACAATGTAATATTTGCTCACCGCTCATTCACACTTTCCTTTCTTTTCGATCGTTCGGCCATTCGCTCGGTCCACCGTTCGGCCACGCCAATCGCTCTTTTGACGTCTCACCGATCCGCTCGATAGTCTATCCGACCGTTCAATGGCTCGCCCTCCACCCCGTCCTCATTCACCAATCGCCCGGTCGTCTCTCCCAAACCCTCCATCCGACCCCCTCCCTCCGCAGCTGCAGAACGCGTCCTGGGTGGGCGGCAGCAGCGCCGGCGGCTCGCCGGTCTCCAGCTGCATGATGTCCCCGCACGACGCCCTCCCGCCGTCCTGCATGTCGCGCCACGCGCACGCTCACGCCCACGCCTTCGTGGGCATGCCCTCGCCGGGACCGTGCCTCTCCCCGCCGGGAATTGGCAGCCTCTTCAACGGCGTGGGGCTCGGCGCGGGCGGAGGAGGAGGGACGGTTCCGTCCGGGGCGTCGAGCGGCGGAGGGGGGATCTCGAATGCGGCGGCGGCCGCCGCGGCCGCGGCCGCCGCGGCTGCAGCGGCCGCTGCCGCCGGGGTCAACGGCCACGAGTTCACGCTGAGCGTGGAGTGCGAGCGCAAGAGCACCAGCATCGCCGCGCTGCGCATGAAGGCGAAAGAGCACAGCGCCTCCATCTCGTGGGCCACGTAGCCGCGATGAGTCGCGCAGCAGCAGCAGCAAACCGCAGTCAGCAGCAGCCAACATTCGCTGTGAGGTCGTGTGGCGAAGTGACACCCGCCACCCCCTCCAAACCCACCGCGCCCCTCGCCGCCCCCCAACCCACCCTACTTCGCCCCCCTTTGAAACCACCATCAGTGCCGCCACTCAAGCTGCGATCGATGCAGCCTCAACTCAACTTTGGCCTGGGTCACAGAGCTCTGGCGTGGTTGGCGAGCAGCGAAGTATGTCCCACGGCCAGTAGTGGAGTTCAGAGCCAGCGGGTGCCTTCATGCATTGAGCATTTGCATTTTTTCACGTAGAACGAGTTCCGGCCGCAGTACTGACTCTTTTCAACGCCCTGCGCTCGGGTTTATGGCAGAGTCGTGGTGTTAATGAAGGTCAAAGTGTCCTCTTGCTGAAATGAACGTGGGGCATTGCTCACTGCCGTTGGCAGCCCTGACCTAATGGTGTCAATTCCATAATCCGATGGCAAGGTTCGTTACCTCGAGAGGATGACCGCCGTTCCCACCAGCTTTTTATTGACCCTGGGGCGATGATAATAATGGGCAAAAATCGACCAACCAAAACACGGATTTGAACTTCAGACCTTCCGACTGTACGTCAGGTGCTCTAATCATAACGCCACTCCACCAAATCATAATAATAACGATACAAATAAGACTTCACTCAGATTCTCCATTTCAGGAAGGTCACTCTTGAGATGCTTGACAGATTTCGTAGTGGGCTTTAATTGTTTATACCTAAGGATCTTGCTCAGAAAAATGAGATAAATCCAGCATCCTCTTTATTTTGAGTCCTGTACCATCATACTCAAGGTCAAGAGGTCATCAAGGCCAATACAGTTGATGCCGTCATACCTTGCCCCAGTAAAAAAATTAACTTTTTATTTTACTCGGTAATGCCCACTGAGCAATGTAGCTCTTTTTCAGGAGTGACCTGGCCACAAATGATATCTCAACGACGTGGCTTGTCATGTGGAAACGTATAGCATCCAAATACTATAAACGCACGTTTTTTAATGTGGAGGAAAAAAGTGGATGACCCGGAGAAAGATCCACGTGACCACGTGGTCGGGATTGAACCCACGAACCTGCGGCCTACCAGGCGAGGGGGATAACATGTCGACACTACGACGCCCAGTTTCACGTCCGCCCCTCGGTCGCTGATCTCTGGGAGCTATCGACGCTGCCGGTCTCGGTCGCCCATCGTCTTCCTCCAGCTCACGCCCCCCCCCCCAACCCCCTCCCCCCACCCCCGCGACGTCATTGCAGCCTCCTCCTGCTGCTCCGTCTGCTGTAACGTGGACGTTAAAGACCCAGTGAAAGCCGCTTGCAATGAGAGTGGGCAATTGCGTGCCAATGTAGTGCGGAATCCAGATCCCAAATTTTCAACATCACTTGCTGTTTGAATGCGAAAATAAATTAATAAGCATGGGCCTGTAGATTTGCTTTGCGAGCAAAATACGCAGTGACTCTCAATATGGTCTCAAGTGTTTAGATAAAGGACAAGTTACTACGTAAAAAAAATCAAATATCAGATATATGGCCGTAGAGATGATATTTGTTATAAATGGTGTGTCCGAGTGGTCCGACGGTTCGATCGCTTGACCCAACACACGTAAGTTTGCAAGTTCAAATCCCCATTGGTCGTCAACTCTGCCCATCATCCCTCCAGCGTCTATAAATTTGTGAGTAATACATCTGCGACTGTTGCACGGATAGAATGGCCCCCACCATGAAAGTGTGGAATTGTTCAGCACTGGCTGAGTGACAGGTAACGAGCCTTGGAGCGCTTCTCCGTCGCTCATCCAAATAGGAAGTAGGCACTTTGACTTTTCAAAGAGGAAATGCGTGGCAACAGTTTAACGGACGGACTTGCCATCTCGACAATGGCATTCGAATGCATAGTGCGGGCTACGTACGTGCACACACACACACGCGCACGCGTGTGCACGCGTGCAGAACTCAAGCAAGACAGCTACACAGGTGGCAAGTCTCTCTTTGAGTAATGAAGCACCTGGCTCTCTGAAGAAATGCTCCTCGGGCGGTCGACGCTTGTGGCTGCTGCTGCTGCTGTTGCTGCTGCTGCAGCAGCCAGAAGAACAATGTTGGGGCTGTAGGGGGCAAAGAGTGGAGATGAAAAAAAAACGATCCAGCCTTCCAGACACTGACAAAAAGAATCTACGACTTCAATCTGACATTTTGAGAAGTCCAAGTCCCATGGATTGGGGAATTAGGCGAAAAAATATTTAGTGATGTGATGTGTTTGCATTTGGGAGCAATGGAAGGTTTAAGTTTAAAGGTTTCCGTTTTATTTTTAGATTCTTTGGCTTGGCAAGGATGTGGGTTTTTTTTTTCTTGCTCTCGTACTAACACAGTGTTGGTGGCGTATGTCCAGTATATATATAAAAAAAATTTCCGAAGTTAAATTCGTATTTTTTTTTTTAACACGAGACACGTTCGCCACGCATGCAGTGCTTTGGGTGTGCGGAAAGTTGTTATATGCAAATGTGCCCCCTCCTCATTTTTTTCACGGTCTGACGAGTAAGAACCGCGCCGCTTTAAATATTTCGCGGAAAAAAAAAACATATTTTAAGTGCTTAACTCGAAACCTCGTTGTCCGCGCTTTGTGCTATAAAAGTAGACGCAGGGGATGCGTACAGGAATTTTAAAGTTTAATAAAATACAAAAAGTGGTTGTCCAATTATTTGCTGTAAGTATGTAAAAAAATATGTTTTGCCATTTTTCTCGTGTTGTCGCTGGGTACGGTGGGTGAGGTGAGCAGAAACCGTCGTGTTTCTTTTGTTTTCCTTTTAAATCGTTCCGCAACCATGGCGTCGGGGGGTTCTAATGCGTGGCCCGGCTTGGATTTTACAGAGGCGCCTTCGAACGGCGACGGCTCCTCTGGGTGGCGACGCGAATTCGAACGCGCGCTCGCCTCGGAACTCAACTCGCCGTTGGGTTTGTCCGTGCGCTATTTTAAGTTCGGCCCTACCATCGCGGCCGAAGAACGTCCAACCCCCCATTTACAAAATCAATTAGGGCAATTCGCCGGCGCCGATAATTACCGGGGCTCGCGAAAGGTTCCGAAGAAACCCCACGGGAAGCGCGCAGTTAAAATAACTGGGTGGACAGAAACGCATTTGCTAAAGTGCTGCACCTTTTTTTTTTTGCCGAGTGCATGGTAATGCATTTTCCTTGTTTATACAAAGCGGTTCAAGGTGGCTCTATTCATTTATAATTGCTTTGTTTCCCCTTGAATGTGGCATACGCGGCGCTTCAAAAACAAACAGGTCCCGAAAAGTCATGCCACTGCTATCAGCTGATGCCGCTCCAGCCTTGAGAATGCTGCTCGTGACAAATGCATCGACCTGTTGCTGTTAATGCCCTGAATTACCAAAGGCATGTAAACACGAGACATGAAGGGTGTACCCTGGTATAGTGGAGAATTTTAAATTGATGTGCAAATCGCCCCCGTCGTTGAAGCCAAAAACCCAAGTTCACGCCGTTTCTCCGTTCAATCGTGTGCCGGGAACTTCCCGTCTCTGTTGGTCGCCTGGAGCCAGCGGTGGAAATTCCACATTTCTACGGTGAAGGGAAAAATGTTCATAACCCAGCCAGTGTTGATTCCGCACAGAAGTGATCATTCTATGGGCAACAGAGGGGACGACGGGCTGAGCCAATCCCCACTTCACATCTAAATATTCACCTTCTGATTCGACACTACCCGTGGACATCAAAGCAAACAACGATCCATGGTTGTACCGTACTATGCTCCCGTGTCTACTGCTACCTGCTTTCACCGGGACTCACTGATCAACACATCTACGCCACTATATACGGAACGAAACAGTAAGACTTCTCCACAAATCTGGCTGTCGCCTGATGAAGCTGGTTGTAATTACTGGCGAAACGTCGTACTCAGTTTGTAAATGTTGTGGCTTGGCTCTCCAACACACCGGTGTAGTGCTGTACTAGTGACGAATTGGCACGTTCTGTTCACGTGACAAACCTTACTAGTTGGCTGTGTCGGGTGGTCGCGGGTTTTAACGACACATTTATATTTTTACGCGATCTAACCCAAAAAAACCTCTTACGGTGAAAATTGGTTAAATGACCCCCCACCCCCACAGTGCGAGCCTCACCACCTCTCATCCAGCTGTGGATTGACGAAAGGAGCTGCTTGTGCACGTTCACTTACGGCCCATAATCACAGCGCCACTCTGCTCGTTGTAGCTGTTCGAGTCACTGCGCGGATGGAGCTGCATCCTTCTGTGTGCGGTGATTTACACTGCTCACCTCTCTGTGTGTGTCAGGAGTTCGAGCCATGGGGAGGAGGGCAGGTGTTTGTGGTGTGAGCGCAGACCTCTGCGTGTGTGCGTGACCGTTTATTGACATGGCACACGTTTTCGCTCTCAGTCACCATTCAGAATCCGCTGCGTCAACAAACGCAAAGCCTACTTCCACGTGCGTAGTGAAAATAAATAAAATGGTAAAGTTGTCAGGAACACTTAGAAAATAATTAATCTAAAATTTTATGGAAGTGAATCACCGTTTCGCTGAAAGACACGTGTGCAGTTTAAGGACTGAGAACGAATGCTCTTTACTTTCTCAAAGTGCAAATTTGACTTGTGTCATCGTCAGGCTAATATATTTTCAAACGTCCCATACCACGTTTTCGCATCTAAACCGAATGATACATGTTTTTCCGTCTGTCTGTAAAACGACGCAATCGGTACACATAAAGTGCTTGCCACAAATTAACCACGATGATACCTTTCTGATATCGTTAAGGGGCATATACCGTCACACAAACTCTGGTCATCCTCGCAGAGGCTTTTGACAAATCATCGGACAAAGACGGTCATTGCCTTGCGCGCTTTCAGATGCGCTTCTGCGGCCATCTGGAACGCTCTTCCGATATTAAGAAGCCACTGGAGCTATGCACTTTTAAATCTAGATTGAAAACGTATTTCTTTAGAACTGCTTTTTGTGTTTAGTTGTTTGTTGTCCTTCCCCCACACCTTCGATCAGCACGGTTGGCTACGTACGGTGCGAAAGAAGCTCAACCTACATGCACATACAAAAACAAAACCACCACTGATGCACGTGTATGTATAGCAAGTTAATTCCTAACAGCGAAATATATCAATAGAGTGTGGAAATTAGGTAGAATTTGTGGTACACAGTAATATAAGTACTAGGCATACAACATTTAATCCCTCCTTGGGATTCGATGAATTGTCAAAGTTCAATGTCAACATGTATTTCGAGTTTATTTTTTATTACATCATCATCAATGTAGTGCCTCTAGTGGCTGCAGGGTTCATAGTAAACATACCACGTGACATACAATATAGAGGATCCAAAGATAATGGATTCTCAAATTCGCAAATCGATGCATGTGTCGTGTGCATAAGAAACAATTTGAATTGATCAATCCATGCACCTGCAATTAGCCAGAGGTCATTATATGTATAGTCTGGCTCTGGCCATGGGAATGTGTAATTGTCACTGGTTGTCCGGAACATCCAATAGAGTTGAGCAGCGCCCTGAGATATTTTAACTTTTTTTTATTTGAACAGCACTTGCTCCAAAAGTCATTGTACGTTATAATGGGTTTGTAAAATTGTCAAACAAATACACTTTGTCTCGGAATACATCGCCGTAGTAATGTGGCTAATGTAGCTCTCTGGTGTGTGTTTTTGGATCAAAGCCGTCCCCGCGTGTGGTTCGAATCCAGCAGCCACCCTGATTAATACTGCGGGGTGCAATATCGCCGCCACCGCCACGTGCCGCCTGCCTCACTGTGGACGTTAAAGAATCCTTAAACTTTCGTCGCAGTATCGCGTGCCACTGTCAGGGTGCCATTTTTTGCCAAGTTTTAAAATGACATCGCAAATCATTGTAATCTATCGGGATTGTACGGAGCGATCATCGACTCCTCTAGCAGAATAATAATGGACATTTGCAGGCAAGGTGCCGAGTCACATTGTGTGTCGAAAGGGACAGCTGCCACTGGGGGTGCCCTATCAAAAGTTTGAGATGAGACAACCTAGCGAATATCAAGGGCGCTCTTGTCAAAAAAACAAATAGTTCACGTTTGACCGCGAGTGTCGTTCAGCCGGAAGCCACATCCAAGAGGGCTATGCAGCACAGCTGCGAAAACATATTTCGTGGTGATTTCGCATGCTTCATGAAATTGGCATTCTTATAATCGGTGTCTTACAGGCGCGCATATACTTGCAATGTTGTGAGACCACTTTTGACAGTGCCAATTACATTTGATGACACGCGGTGTATGATGAGAGTGGGGATTCCATGGGCAGTCAGGGCCTTGCTTGTCAGCCTCGGTAGAGAAGAACCTCTGAGTGCAGTTCGATAGGTTTTGTGGATCCGGCTCTATGTCCTGATGTCCATCATTAGGAGGAGCTCTACTACAACCACTTCCCATTTCACCAGCCTCAATTCATACACAAACATTGACCAATCACAAAGAGGTTATGCCAACAGAAAATCATTGTAGGCAACGAGCAACTGGTACCTCCACAGTTGTAACGTCCCATCAGTTCAATAGACAAATCCTTTCTTGTAAAGGGATTGTGCGCAGAGAATATGACCCACGACATGTGTGTGTATATGTGTTTACACTGGCTGTCCAATGGGGAGACTGACTGCTCCCATAGGAATGTGGAGTTTCCACCACTGGCTCAGGGCTGCCAACAAGAGACAAGTAACGCCCACGCTTGTGTGAGCAGGGAGACGTGGACTTTTAGGCTTGTGTATATTGTATGTATGTATATATAGACAAAGACAAAGATCCCCAAAATAATGTTCGCGAGCACCTATTAAGGCACGCACAGCACCCGAGGGGGTGGGTGGTCAGCACCACGCCCGGCCGCCTTTGTCTCCCCAGTGGCGATGTTTACACACTGCACCAGATGCTCATTTGAGGCTGAGTCGACCTAGGGGTGTCCCGGGACCCGTTTCGATAATCGCCACTGTTATTGGCCGAGAGTGGAAATCGAACATGGGTCACCGGGTTCAAAGCGCAGCGCGCTAACCGCTACACTCCCGCTCCCACTATGTATACATATACACTATATATACACAAACACACATATGCTACATTCATCCGGTGCCTGTTGCCAGGGATTATATGGGTAAATTTAATTTAGCTCTAGGGCAACTGTAATGTAATATGTATCGAGCACACTTCATTATGCTAATACAGCTCTATTGGACTTACTACAAAAAAAAGAAGTCAATTGGCAGTGAACTTGACAGTTAACTGTAAAAATAAGCAAGGCCAGCAGTGACATTATTTTCCTAAAATCAGAGAAGAAAAATAATTTGCAAAAGCCGCAACCAAAAAAGGAGAACATTTGAAGGTTATTTTTTGTTTTATAAAAATAAAGACGATTTGTTATTGAAATAAAAGTTATTTGTGCACATGTCTTGAGGCCGGTCTGCCTTGTTCAGTCTCCGAGACACAGAGACAGAGTGAGAGAGAGTGTGAGAGTGTTATTGTAAGGGTTTGACGACTCCACGAGAAGGTCACCATCGGAGAAAACCCTCACGTGTTTCGAAATCCGGCGGAGCGGTGTCCATCGCAGCGGTGCCCCAAGAGTCCGGCGACCCGAGTTCGACTCCCGGTCCGGGCCCCCTCCCCCCTTCACCAATGCGCACTGACTG